CGGTGAAGCTGCAGATTGCAACTCCCTCACTTCTCGCTACCAGTGCAAAGGAGAAACTCTTTCTGTTCTGGGTTGCTAAATATTTCACACTGGACCTTTTTTTTAAAGAGAGAAAAAAAGGAAGAAAAAACTGCTCTAAATGAGGAGTTGTTGGTACCTTTACCAGCCAGCAGGTTATGTTGTTCAGGCATGTACAGTATTTTAGGCCATACATATAACAAAACTAGTTAGTCACACTATCAAGGCATGTTGCATAGCTTTTTTATGGGAGACTGAATCATGTACCCTTTTTATATGACTTAACACTTCTAACAGACTTATTTGTTTTCCAGTCATGCTCAATAGTTATTAATGGGTTAAGTGTTACACATTATGAACAACTGTCATTCCCTCCCCTTTGTACATTCTTATCACTTGTGCCTTTAAAAACATGAAATAGCAGTGCTGCTCTGGTTGGAACCTGAAGCGACTAGTATGTATTCTGCTCTCTCCTAGCAAAGGAAAAATACTGAAAAACAATACATTAGATACCAAAAAAGGTAAGGTGTATTTTTATTTTTTGCCAAAATAAATTACTGATTGCAATCTTGGGGTTTGAACCACTGCATAGTTACAAAAGTTAATTTTTAACTGGCATGCAATATGTTTTCTTGTTTCAGTGGTTTAGATTCTCTTACACACTGTTGGTTGTTTGCTAGTTACTGTACATGTTAAAAGGGCTTGCATAAGGACAAGTTACTGTACCATCATTCATCAATAATTAGGTTAAATAAATTGTAAACACCCATTTCTAACTTGTTATTAATCTTACATTTGATTTTGAGTGATAAAACTAATTGCAGCAGGCTACACATACTGCTGCAAAAATGTAAATTATAAAAATTTTAAAAGATCAGTGATATAAACTGCAGCGTCTATATTTGATAAAATGATGATTCAATTATGCATTTGATAAAATATAATGTTCTTCTCAGCTTCTGAATAAAAATGCATTGGCCCTGGGTTTGGATCACTCTCTGCTTGCTCCGTCCAGCTGTGGTTTATGGTGGGAGAGTTCTTGTTTTTCCCGTGGATGGCAGCCACTGGGTGAACATGAAAGTCATTATTGAGGAACTGCATTCAAGGGGCCACCAGGTTTCTGTTGTGCGATCATCCAACAGCTGGTACATCAAGGAAACCTCCCCATTATATACTTCAGTTACTCTCAATATAGACTCTGGATTTGATGAAGATGGTTAAAAGATAAAAGCGACATATACTGTCACATCTTAAACTACCTTATGTTAGCTTAATGTTAGCTAACAAACTGAACCCCTCGCCACCTCACCCATCAATTGGAAGAAAATGACAAAAATTTAATACAGTATTTGTATGTTTTCCTGAGTGTATACTCACCTGGAAATATGGATCATTGTGTTTCCGTTACGTTAGAATGAGCCCTTTGTGTCAACAGAGGGAGTGAGTTGTCTTCCATGGAGCCCAGACCAGACAAAGGGAAAACGCTGGCTCTAGACAGGGCCTTACACATCATTTACAAGGTTTCATGGCAACCATAGTTGTGTATACACTTAGAAGGGGAACGTGAGACGAGAGGTTCAGATGGCTGCGATCTGCAACCTCATTGCTTGATGCCACTAAATACACTGGACCTTTAAGAGTTAACTTAACTTAACTTTTACCCCTCTTTGTACTTTCTTATCACCTGTGCATTTCATAAAGTGAAATTGCAGTACCAAAGTCCTGTTCAGGTTGTAACCTTGGAGGACAAGCATGTACATTCTACTCTCTGTCTCTCTGGAAAAGGAAGAATATTGAAAAACAATACATTGGATACCTAAAAAGGTAACATTAAAGTTTTTCTTCCTGCCGATGATGAAATGATATTCTGGGGTTTGAACTACTGTATAGTTATAAAAGGTAAACTGCCATGCAATCTCTTACACATTGCACATGCGGCTTGCTAGTTAGCTCTTACTGTACGTGTTAAAAGGGCTTGCATATGGAGTAAAACTGAGTTACTCTATACTATCTAATCTAATCGAAACACCCTCTACATTATATAACTTTTAAATAATCAGTCATATAAATTGCTTCTTCCTAGTAAATTATAAAATGATGCATTTAATAATATGTATGCTTTCTTCTCAACTTCAGAATAAAAATGCATTGGCCCTGGGTTTGGATCACTCTCTGCTTGCTCTGTCCAACTGTGGTTTATGGTGGGAAAGTTCTTGTTTTTCCCGTGGATGGCAGCCACTGGGTGAACATGAAAGTCATTATTGAGGAATTGCATTCAAGGGGCCACGAGGTTTCTGTTGTGCGATCATCCAACAGCTGGTACATCAAGGAAACCTCCCCATTATATACTTCAATTACTCTCAATAAAGACTCTGGATTTGATGAAGACTTTATAACTGAATTTGTGACCCAGTTGATGGAAATCCAGAGGGAAGGGAAGTCTGCCTGGACACGTTTTAAACTGGAAATGGAACAAGCACAAAAATCCTTTGAGCTAAATGAGAAAACATGCAAAATGCTCGAGCTTCTTTTCGAAAACAAAGATCTGATACAGTCACTACAGGATGCCAAATATGACCTTGTCCTTACAGATCC